CATGTAGTGAAGAAGGAATCAAAGTTAGCTCCTATCTCCACCAACCACCTTCCTTGGGTCAGGAATATGAACATGAAGATATGTTATGACTAGTTTGAAGGAGGGATTGTCTTTCTCAAATACTTTGTGCTACCCTGATTGACATTTCAGGCAAGAGTTTGAGAACATAGTCTTCCTGCCCCACTACCTTCTTAGGATTCATGGTAGCTGAAAGGTGCTAGCTTGTAAGGCACCATAAGAATTGTCACTGTTAAAATTGGTAAAGTATAGAGGTGAGGGAAAGAAAGAGAAATAGAAATGGGAGGAGAGGAGCAAATTCCATCTATTACCTACCCACTTGCCTACGTACGATTCTTCTATCTGCCTTCTGACCTTTCACTCACCTTGATCAACAGAATGGGTTATCTGGATACCAAGTAGAAGTACAATTTCACTGTAACAATAATTCATAATGTTTAGAAAGCAATTCTTCCAAAATCACAAGCAGAGATATGACACTAAGATGTATCCAAGAGATCTTGTTACCAAAAGCAAAACCAATGAAACAACATCTGTCTCTTCTAGAGCATTCAATTCCCAATTCAATTCCATTTACTCCATCCTTAGAGTGGCGGACCCGCAGGGCACTTTTCATCTAATAGTGTTTCTATGGAAACGCCATTCTCAACCTGGAAGATTCTACAACCCCTCACTTTGGCTTTATCCACATTGAGATGAAAGTCTTATAAATCAGAGATCTAGACATAAATTTGGCCATAGACAAAAATATATATATTTTCCAGGCTAGAAGTTCACAAAAAGAAAGAAAACAAAACAAAATAGCAAAATATGTGTATCTGACTTAGAAATAGAGTTTGTCTCTGTTGTACCCAATGGCTCCTCAAGATCAGTGAAAGGATGGGGAATCCAAGACAATGTGAAGGAAGATCAATTCACCTTCAGGATTATCCCCCCCAATTCACCTTCAGGGTCACCTCCCCTACTAGTCAATGCCAAATGTGTCACTCCTTGAACGGTTTCTTTACCTGAATCTGCAGTATGCGTTTTAACAACCTTCACTCTCCCTAACTTCCAGGATTCCTAGGACACATAGCAGCTCTATGTAGGAAAATATGTCACTGCATATTTTAAATAAGAACCATATTAACTGCTTTTCTATTTAGATTATATTTAAAACTGCAGTATGTTAGAGTAGGAAAACAAAAAGAAAAAAGACCCTTGATTTTTACCTTAAACATTGTATTTATTCCTTCTCCTCATTTTCACTAGGCTCTTAGGCACATATTTTTGTAACACTATGCAGCAAAATAACCTTTACTATGCACAACACATTCAGCTTAAACATTATGACATAGTAGGTTATATTTACAGTTGGAATAATGCCCTTAAGAAGGAAAAAGAAACCTTGATGTGGCATATGCCCCTAATTGTGACTATATAGTGACTCACCACAAATATTAAGTACTTTTTAATTGTTTGCAATAATGTCTTCAGGCAAATGCAAGCATTTCTATTAATAAATGCTTTTATTTTCTTTCCAATTCTCTCTTGTGATCTAAATAATGTCAGTCATTCTTTTCAATTCCAGGGAATAGTTTCTTTAAAGAGATCTTCTCTAGTTATCAAAACAGGCAAATGTCCAACTAGGTCTAAGCTGGAAATTTACATCACTGAAATTTCCTCTTACCCCATAATCACCAAAGTTTAAGACCCATTTCCTTTTTCTTTTAGTGTTTTCATTACACACAAGTATGTCCAGTTTAGCTTGCTAGAGACTGTGAGTCCAAGAATGAAGCTTTAGTTCTCTCTTTGGAGTAGTAAAATGTGCTACTGATTAAATCTACCTGTGGATAACTACAGAACAGCACATTTTTCTTATGCAGCTGGGGTGCAAATCCAGAAAGGTTTTTTTTTTCCAGGCCTATTCTACTCCTCTAACACACAAATGCTTGAAAGCCCTTTCAAAGGCAGATTTTTTTTTTAATTGAATAAACTCAATGAAAAGGTTGACCCATTTATTTGAAAAAGAAAAAAACCCCAGCAATTTGCTTTCAAAAAGGTGTGTGAGGTTTTATAATATGTCTTTTGGCATCTAAAAGATTAGTTTTTACAATTTGCTAATAAATTGTTATTGCTATTGTTCTAATTAGCCAGAGTTTCAATTGCTCTTTTATATCTAGCAAGATTTCAGGAAGGATTTTCTGGATAAGTTGCATTAATTATATAGCAAGAATGTGATCATTTAAAATTTGTACACAGTCTTCCAAATGAATTGTGCATCCCTAAAGACCTCTCAGAACTTGAAATAAGGTTGCTAAAGGATTAGTACTGAGATGTCAGTAGTTACTTACATTTGGACAAATAACAACAAAATTCTCTTTAAACTCTATAAGTTTTTCCCTAGAATTTATTATAATCAGCTCCTGATTATTGACCTAAGCAGTCTGTGCATTCCTTTAAGAAGTATAACAAGACAAGGAGAAGGGTGTTCCTTGTAACTGGAGATCTATTTGCTCTTGCAGTTAGAGAAGAGGAAGGGAATCTTTTTCAATGGGGGAAGGAGAGAGGGAGAAAATTTAAATATATCTCCTAACTTTGCTTTTTATATGATATTATGAGAGCATTTGCTTTTTAGAGACTGTTATTAATATCAATATTTTTTGTATGAGCAGATGGCAGTGGAGTGGGGAAGGAGTGTGGGAATATCCAATGGAAACCATAAGGCACCTTCTCTGAGCATTCACAGAAAGCCAGGGAGACATGGACAAATGGGTTTCCCTTCCAGGGTAGCGGTTCAGGCCAGCACAGACCCCAAAACTGAAGGAAATTAGCCAGACCTCAAGAAACCAGGCAGTTCATGAATAATTTCTATTACAATTGTCCCAGTAACAATTGGACCACAAAAAGCATTGCAATGCAGGTAAAATCATGCTGGCTGTTAAAAAGTTTTTTGTTTTGTTTTTTTTTAAAGAAGATAATATAGCTCTCTGCAAGGTTCTTCACAAGGGTATGACCTAGAAAACCAGGAAATCTGGTGGATGAATAAAAGAACTTGCTTCTCTCTCTCCTGATTCTGTCTGAACCAATATTTGATTATATTTTATTCAGGGGGACCTCAGCTTCAAGTAAAGCCAAAGCTACTTGTAGATTGAGATGGAGGCTGATGAAATCTATTCATTATTTCTGTTAGTACAGGAAATAGAAATAGTCTGGTGGTGACTTCAGGGTCGACTTGATTTTGTCCCCTCCCCCGACTCATCCTCCAGATCAGGTTAGCTGGTTACCTCTGGTGATGAAATATCAGCGTGGCTTCATCAGCACTTTTGATCAATTCTCACTTCTTATGTCCTGCTGACTTTAAATGCCATACTATTTATTTTGCATGCTACCCCCTCTAGACTCTAGTCCTCCCCCTCCCCTTCAGTAGTGGTTGGAGATCCTCAGTAGCAAACTTGCACAAGGCAGGTCTCAAACTATCCCCACATCTATGCACCAAATGTCAGATAAGTAATGGCACCCAATCAGGTTTTAGGCAAACCTAACATGACGTTAAAATCAGCTAAACAATCTAAATCAACTACCTACCAGCACTAACCAACCTCCCAAACTGATTCCAAAACCATCAGCATAGTCTAGGTACTGTTTGGAATCAACATGGGAAGAAGAGAAGGGAGGGAACTGTTTTTTTAGTGACTCCTGCTGCTCTCAGGTTTTATTTTATTCATGGACACTGAAAAATCTGGATTAATTTATACCATCGAGTGTTATGGGAGGCACAGCCTCTATCCAGAGGAGCAGGACCAGCATGGCCCTGGACATCCTCTGTTATCTCCCTATATCAGTACAAGTCACTGAGGAACATGGCTTTGAGAGTAGGCAAGGGTGTGAAGGTCAACAGGTCTGGACACATTCATGACAATGCAGAATTAACTTTGATACTTAAGAAAAAGAAATGACTTTAAGAAAAGCAAACTATGCTAAAAGTAGTAACATAAAAGGCTTGCTCCTGACATTTTTTAAAAAGCCAAGATTTCTAACATTCATTCATCTTAGGCTGGATTATGCTACCTACCTGTCTAAATGCATCCTTGTCCCCAATCCTGACAGTTCCCCTGGTCAACAATTTTGCTGATTTTTAAACTATTATTTTACCCATAAATTTTCATTTTGTCTTCTTCCTTAGATGTCATTAAGTCAGTATGCACTTACAAAAATATCCACCAAAATATTATGATTGTAAATATTTTGAACATGAAATTCATTCAGAATAATAACCAAACAAAACAAATCCCTCGGTGGCATAAAGCCCCACATCTCCAGTTTCACATCTCCAGGAGAATTCCTGCAGTGAAAACAGCAATACTCACACAGACAATATAAACTGTTACTCTGCTTGAAAAGTCACAGGGGACTGCACAGGAAGAGCTGACTTTATATTGCTGTTTTCCTTTACAGTTCTAAATACGGGGACAACTTTCACTGGACAGCTCTGACTCAGATGAACGTTTTGTAATGGCAGCCAGTGCATTCAAACCACTGAAAAGCAAATTACGTGAGCATCTTGCCATTGCGACAAGATTTCACTTTTTGTGGACCATTCGCTATAAAGGTCTGCTAAAGCATTAGAAGAAATTAAGTCCTTGTCTCTTGAGTTTGTCTTACTTTCTTCTTAGCGAGAGCTGGTTCTAAGCACTTAAGAGTCACACTGACAAAAGCAACATCATTAACACACATACTTAAAGTCAAGTGCACATGAACTCCTAAACTTTATAACGTATGAAAATTAACAAAATTACAATATCGAACTTCAAATAAAACTCCTCATTTGGGGTACGAATCTAGGAAACAAGTGCTAACACTTTTGTAAAAATTTTGGGAACACAGTGATTTATGAAATATTTCAAGTCCAAAGGGATCATTTTTCCCTCCTTTTTTTTTTTCTATCAAAACTGGTTCATTGTCCATATTTAGTTTACATATGTCATTTAGAATCCACTTACTGTTAGATGCTGGAACAGCCACGCCCTCATGATATTTGTGGCTACTTTGGGAAAGATGCCACGCTTTTTGTGACGCTTTTTGTCCTTATCTGGATCATCATCGTCACCTGTGCTGGGGGAAGCTACACTGTTGTCCAAGCCATCACCTGCAAACATAGTGAATCAAATTTTGACTGATGCTACCTTGACACGCTTTATTCAAATAGAATGCCTTTGGATATAAACAAAACCAAAAGAGCAATATAAATGATTAATAGTTTATTTGCTACTTTTTTTTTTTTAAGACAAAGAGAAAGAACAAGGCCTAGGCTCAAAAGTAGTCAAATCTAAGGAATTTCTTCTAAAGAACAGTGTGAAAGGTCAAAGGGAATGGAGGAAACTATCCAATGTCTTTCGTTGCTTTGTTGTGATGGTAATTATTCAGCTGCGTATAGCTCAGATGTGTTAAGTGCAATTCCTACTGGGGAGTTAAATATGGTGGCAGCCATTAGCAGAGGTGCTGTCCCTGCCTGGGTATTCAAATCCCACATACAGTCATTGATGTCAACTTGTGAGAAGATGCATGTAAGATATCAACTATTTCCACAAGTGATCTATCTTAAGACTAAAGTAGGCCATGGAAATGTAGGTAATCCATCATATAAGCAGTTTGACATAGGAATGCTTCAAATAGGATGTAATCTCTCTTGTCATAGAAAGAGAGCACCAAATTTAGTAAGGGAAAAACTCCCGAAATAGTTTTTTAATTAGAAAACAATTACTATTTAAATCAAATAAAGGGATGTTAAATTAACAGTCAGTTGGACTTGTACTACCCTAATAATCCAGACAGTTTCTAAAATTTCTTCTAGATTTAAATTTTTCTCACTGAAATATCACCTGCCTATACATTCCTGTATATTGAATCCTATTTTTCCACTGATTTTTGGTATAACATTTAAGTCACATCTTCTAGAAAATATTTTGGCTCTGTGACACAATAAAATAAAAAATGTAATGTTTCTTTACAATGCCATATTTAACAAGACAAAAAATGAAATTTCAGCCCATATAATCACAGGATCCAAAATAAGTCATAAGATACAAATGGAAAGTAAGCTCTTTGTGTTTTGGCAAAAAAGTCAAAAGGAAAAACAACATGGGGGAAACTCACTACACTAAAAAGCAGCTTCTTCTGTCAAACACTTCTCCATCTGGTGCCCCAGCTCTCGTGGAAGCTACTGGCTTTTAGAAGTTTGATCTGGATCCAGAAAGAAGAGCTATAGTGGCAAGGCTTAGCAATGAGGTGACAAATGTCCCTGAGAGCACATTCACTGGGTCATGTAAGTCATTGGAGAACAGACTACATGGCCCCAAAGAACTGGTAATTTGGTAAGACAGAATTCCCGGGGACTGTACATTGGAACTAGCCTCAGATTCATTTACATCGCTTCATGAATTTCTGCATTCCTTATCTCTGTTACCTAAATATCCTACATACAGAAAGAATTCTCTGGTTTGATTTCACTTATTTCCGTCTAATCTACAGTAGTTATGTTGCCATTAACCAATTGTTCTTAACAGCTCCCTCAGGAGATTTCCCTTAGCCCCCCAAAATAAAATTGCGCCAAAATTGCCTTGACTTGTACTAAGTGAAAGTTTAAAAACTTTATTGGGTGAGGAACAGCCTATTTTCAATATTTCTGCTGTGATTACAGCATAGGCCACACATACAAAACTTTTGCAGAACTTTTCTGAGTTTAATTTTTTATCAATTTAAAATCCATCATTTTATCGTATTTAAAATCTATGTATTTTGTTAAAGTTCGACAGAATCATACCTGTGTTCTCACTGGAAAAGATTGTAGAGACCCACAATTACAAAGCCCTCATCGTATCAAGGAAGAAAGTGCCCGTGTTCCTGTTGGGTGACTTGTCCAAGGTCACATAGCTGGGATGGGACCGGTGGGCCTGTGCTGGACCAGACACCCACATCCCTAAATGAATGCTCCTTCCACACCCCACCACGCTCTTTATTTTCATAACCAAGTGTTTTATAAGGTGTCCCCTTGGATTTGCCTAATAAATTCTTTGAAAGTCCAGTATTTAAAGAGGCTTTTTATTCAGAGAAGCAATTCACCATATAAAATAACAATTCATTAAAGAAACATGAGAAAAGAAAACAACTCAACAGCATTTAAAATTTCAATGGGCTAATCCACTTTCAATATGCAAAAGATAACCCAGGAAAAGAAACATATTACTTGATCACTGATTAAAAATGAAAAGCTCCTAACCTAACAACACAGTTTTTCACCACCTCTCCATGATTGTTTTCCACCTTAAAAAAAAAATAGCCTTTCTATCCATCTCAAAACCCCTTCAGATTAATTTAGCAGGCAATGCCTAGTGCCTGCCTCGGAGAGAATTCATTGATAATTTATGGAAATATCTACTATAATCCAGCGGAGATGACTTTTTTCCAGCTTTGTGCATCAATAGATAATCAAGGCCTTAAAGCAGCCTTAGCTTCCCATTACCTCAGGCAAAAGAATTCCTGAAAGCGTGCCTTGAGGGCACCTGAATTATATACTCCATTAGGAGAGGAAGGCTTTCTGCATTCCTTGTGTAACACTCACCAGAACCTTTCCTGTTTATTTCTGCTGTATGAAAGCAGAAGCATTAGGAACAGAATTTTTTAAGTGAAGACTTATGTAGATACAATGGAGAAACCTTTCAAGCAGGAGCCAGATCACCCCCTTCAGTCCCTGGCAGTGACCTCTCCCGAATAAAAGGTTTCTATTACATCATTAGCTCAAGCCAAAAACAGCCTTGGCTTAATGCACAGTTTGTTCTTCCTACTGTTTTTAGGCAAATACAGCTACTCTACTCCCATCTGGGAGGGAAATTACACTGCTGGGTTGTAATCTAAGACAAGATTTTCATTGGAAGCAAATGCTTTCAATCCAGTGTAAATACTGGTGCATGTTCAGAAAAGCCTAAAACAATAAACCTTGCTCCTTCCCGACACAAGTTAGGGAAATGGAGAAGATGGGGAAGGAGAAGAGCATAATAAAACAGACGATTCTAAAAGCAAACACTTTCATAGATTTTAATAAATTGTTTAACCTCTTCCACTTTCTAAAATTGAAAATTGATCTTCAAAACGTCTCAACATCAGATGAATGTCTAAATGGTCGATTGTACCTTTCGCATTTCCATTCACTCTGCAATTTGATACAGTCACCTCGATGCGGTCTCCGGAGGATTTATTTCCTTTTTTTATTTTTAAGATCACTAAACAAACTTGGAGAACCGCCGGCCGACCACATGGCAGCAGGCAGCCGCTCTGAACCACATTTGTAAAGTGTGAGCAGTGACTTCATTCCTGGAGCTGACTTCTCCTGCTGCCAAATGAAGGCGAACTGAAAAGGTGGAAATAATCATAAAAATGATGCTAGTCCATAAACAAGCTTACAGCCTCATTAGGACAGCAGTAGGCTCCGGTGGGTGATTTATGCTCGTTTTGCTGATGCTATGAGGAAATGCCATAGGGCGACTTGAGCCAATTGCTAATGGTTTCTGACAGCTTCTTAGCAACTAGTGCAAGCAACGTTGTGGCGTTTGCTAGTGACAGAAACCGAAAATGTCATATTATCTGCCCATGTGTCATGAAGTCCGTGTGGCAATTAACTAGCAGGCCAGTGACTGAGGGGCCAGAGGCTCCTGAAAATGGCCTTTGGCTATGCAGAGGCAGCCGACGCTGAGCGCAGACTGGCTGCATTTATGCAACATTCTAATGTAGAAATCCACTTCCTTGTGACTTCCCCGGCTCTGATGAGGCCGGGCCACTCACATCCCTTTTTCCCCCTCACTGAAGGGAAAGTCTGGGTTCCTATGTCTCTAGGCACTGGCTCTGGAGTTATCAGAAGACTCTAAAGTGATCTGCTTTGATATGATTATCCCAATGGCCCCTTAATTGGCAATATCTGGTTCTGTGCTTTTTGGATGCTGGATTCAAAGGTGCTAGCTATTTTCCTGCTCTCCCACAAATTAGTCTAAGAGGATTTAAGATCACTGAAGCAGACTCATTGCCTGTCAGATCGCTAGGAGCAGAGGAACTGTGCAGCAACAAGACACTATTTTAAAAACACCAGGTTTCTAACAAGCAGGGGGAGAATCTTGGCCACACTTTTCAGTTTCCGAGCTATCAAAACCATGCACTATACGTCAAACTGTCAAACCTTTCAGCGTGGGCCATTTGCCCTTTCAAATAATATTTAAGAATTGTTTTTACAAAATTTTATAGGCCATGGTCTAGTGAAAGAGGCCAACCAACAAAGAAAGGAATTTGTACTACAGTTCGTCTACGGACAATTTCTTGTGAGACCTTGGCCTGTCCCTGCGGAGCAAGGCAGGTGACCTGTGGCAGCTCCCAGGCTGTCAGAGAGCTCAGATTTCAAACACGCTCAACTCAAACATCCCGAGTCGCCTATTTAAGCATGCCCAGGCAGTTAGACTGGGCTATCTCGTGCCTTTCAAGGCAGGATAAAGCCGCATTTATCGTATTCAGGCCATTCAATGGGTCAGACTGACCGTGTCAGCAGGGGCTCCTCTCCGGCAGGTCAAAGCCCTGCTCCCATTTTTCTCTCCCTACGAACTCCCTCTCTCCCCCCAGGGCTGCCATTCCCAAAAACCTGTTCCGGGTGAGGCAAAAACAAAACTCCAAAAAGCGCCTAAGATTTACATCACAACTGATCGGAACTTCCCGTGTCAGTGCGCCAGCAGGTATAAATAAAATGGGTTGTCTGTCAGAGGGTTCTTTATGCCATAGAGGCAAAACTCCTAATTAGGGATATGAACGTTCAACTGCCAGGGTAAATGTACGTGTCAGGTTGTGGATCCTCTTGTTTTGCTAGAAGCCAGGCTGGAAGCCAGCCCGGCTTCAAGACTACTTCATTTACAATTTTGTATTGAGATTCCATAGTTTCAGGCCATGTTCTCTCCTTAACCTTTACTTTTCTCCTCTCCAAGCATTTAGGAATAGAGTGTCTGTCCCAAAAAATGTACCTAGACTCAAAAATCAAGGCCATTTATAATCTTGTCTTTCGATATTGAGTAGATTCTACCGTGTCTTGAAAGTTGTCAAAAGTCAATTCAGAAGCGT